GGAGAAATAATCTAGGTTCTTGATCGAGTCGAAGTTGTGAGCAAACTGGATTCCTATGCTGTAAAAAAAAAAATTTAACCCCCCCCCCCATACGTGCATGCAGGAATATGGGATATGTTATATGAAAATTGTTTTCATTTGAAAAATTTAAATACAGTCGTTGTAGCCCATAATTTTTTCCTCACTTCTAGAAATGTTATATCTGGTTTTGACGGGGCAGGGGAGCAATGGGAAAAAATCTGGAAAGATTTCACACTATAAAGAGTCCACAGAGACTGAGGCATGAAAGGATACAACTGCAAACGAAGGCAGTGAATTATTAGATAGTGTGTATACAATCAGAGCAAGTTGTTGTGCTTTTTAAAAAAAATGGTTAGAGAGGTAATGAAAGCTTTTAAAATTTATAAAGAAAGATAACTCTTTGATACTTCTTTACGTAATATGACTGGAGACTCATACTAATTGTTCCCGGTCTCTGCAATTTTTCTCTCGTTTGTCGAAATTTTAAGTCGGACATCATTTTTTTTTAACTGGAAATCCTCTTTGAAAGATAAAAATCTCAGAAGTTAATTTTTGTTCAATGACTGTGTAAAAACTGAATTTCAAAGATATATTGACAGACAATGTATGTTACCTTTCCTGATTCTGCATATGTATACAACTAAATTCAACCAAAAAAAAACCTATCAGGAACGTAGCATTGTTTTTGAAAGGGGGGCTGCCTGAGATAACCTAAAAAAAACTTGACCAAAAAAAACAAAACAAAACAAAACAAAACAAAAACCAATCTAAATTATCAAAACTCGAAAATCCTATTTCGTGGTTGGTGGTTGGGAGGGGGGGGGGGTTCCAACAACTTCTTTCAGTACCAAATTTTATTCATACACTACTACATTACCCTTACTTGACTATACTGCAACAAAAAGTGGAGGCCAACCACCCTTTCAATGAACATTTACAATAGTAAAAAGGTTTCATATCAGTCTCTCAGGTCAAGGACGGCATATACATTCCTCTGTCTCTATGTTCTTGAAAGTTCCTCGACCTGGTTTTCCAGATTCTGTTACGTAATTCTTCTTCAATGAAATACCAATTAAAGAAGAGAGAGAGAGACCTAGAATTCATCTGTTTGTTTCAGCAGAACTACCTTCTATTTCAACCAAAAAACGCAAATCTAAACGCTGTAGGGCATTCCGCTGCAAGATCAAAACATAAGTTTGAGGACATGTAGCATTGATTTCTAGACTGGATCGCAATCGATCATGTAGAACTTCCCCCAAAACCTTCCAAAGCTCAGTCGGTAGAGCGGTAGGCGGAAGATCATTTGTTCGAATCACGGCCGCGACTGACCTAAATCGATAAAAAAAAAAATAGGTATCAACTGTTCCTTCTCCAAGCGCTCGGCACTTTGAAGTGAACGTTCCAGGTCCTTCGGATAAGACTTTAAAAAACCGAGGCCACATGTCACGGTAGGTGTTGGCACGATAAAGAACCGACACTGCTCAATGGCCCTGAAGCCGAGTAAAGGTCTAAATTTGAAGACTTCATCGGTATATGGTGACGTCTCTATATGAGTGAAAAATTCTCCAACAGGACGTAAACAACATACAATCAATCAATCAATCAAAAAAAAAACTTTCCAAGAGCGATCCCAAACCTTAGTCCAATCTTAGGGACTACACACCTCCTTTGTACACTGAGCAATCCACTATTAAGATCACAAAAACTTACCTGTAACCAATGAGATCAGATACTAACTTCTTCAACAAACTTTTATCAACTCTTTCAGGTGCGTGGCTAGGCGTTCGCAAGTACGCAAGTGCCTCCCCATCATTTTCACCCCCCCCCCCCCCAAATAATAACATTAAACAAAAATTAAATACATGTAACATCATGAATCAGGCAATACTTTTTCTTCTTTATCTTGAGTATTTTAATGTAACTCTATTTTCTGGATACTCAAAATTAAGTGTCAGAAATGAAAGCTTTCGGGGGCTTCGACCCCTGGGCCCCCACCAGGGCTTGGCCCTGGACCCATTGGGGGCCTTAAGGCGGCCCCCAACCCTTGTCTTGATTTGCTTCCACATTAAATACCCCTAGCTACGCCCCTGTCTTTGACATCTTTTATTGAATTCTAAACCACTAAACAATCCAATTTATCCCCTTAAAATTCTGGTTCCTTTCTCTCGAAATTTATGAGAGTAATTTTTTATTGATAGACAAAATTATATTTGGAGATCACTCTGTATTTAAACCACAGGTACTTGTGGACGGGACCCCCCCCCCCCCCCAGCAATATTCAACCCCGAGGGTTGTTGGACATTTATTTATTACACTTATTCATCATGTGTACCATAAGAAAAAATCGTGAAAACCCCAAAATAATCGTTCCACACAAAACTACCCCATTATACATTATAAGAGAGAAAGGTATGCCACTCCGGTTTGTTTACGTTGCACCCCCACTGGTCTTTTTGGGTTTAAAAACAATTAATCCTTAAACAGCATTGTAGTCAGTGCGTTGAAAATTCCTTAGGTAAACGCAACGGAAGTGAATAGAGAATATATTACTTATGATAACATCCGAGAGAGATTATTACGTCAGTCCTAGCCTGGTCCCCTGGCTCATCCTTGCCAAGGCAGGAGAGCCTGGTCCAAGTGACGCGGAGTACACGAAGCAAAACAGGGACAGGGAACCAGGCTACGTCAGTCCAAAACTCTCTCGGACGTTACCGTAATAAGTGATACATTCTTGGTGTACTTCCGTTGCGTTTACCTAAGGAATTTTCAACGCACTGACTACAATGCTGTTTAAGGATTAATTGTGGGATTCTTACGAGATGCAGAGTCAATCCGATAGCATGAACTAAAACAGAAATATATGAAGAGACAGTGTGAACCGACATTTTAGGTTTAAATAAAATAAATACATGTTTTTAAACTCAGAAAGACCAGTGGGGATGCAACGTAAACAAACCGGAGTGGCGTACTTTCTCTCTTATAATGTATAATGGGGTATTTTTGTGTGGAACGATTATTTTGGGGTTTTCACGATTTTTTTCTTATGGCACACATGATGAATAAGTGTAATAAATATAATTTGTGAAGAAAATGTCCAACAACCTTGGGGTTGAATTGCGAAAGGGGGGAGGGGTTCCTGTCCACAAGTACCTGTGATTTAAACATCCTTCTCGATGTAGGGAATAATCGCGGGCTCTTTAGTGAATTTTCCTGGCATAAACCTTTACCAATTTGATACATGTATATATTTAATATACTTTCAGTTTCAGCATTTTTTTTTTTCAAGTTAAAGTTTTCAATAAATTAATCTAATGAAATTAGCTGTCAATTTAACGTGCTGGTTATTACTTCATTATTTATAGAGAAATCTTTATTACCAGTTTTTCCGCGCTTAGCTTTCTTAAATTTTATGTCCCTAGTAAGCATCGCTGGCTTTAGTGGCCGCTATTTCGGCACAATCCATTCACATTTATTTTATGTACATGAAGTGTAAGTTTACCCCATCTTGTTAGTACGTATATTCCACCCGAAAAGGCAATCCCGCAACAAGATTACATATTTGCCGAAGCCTATATTTGAAATCAGAAAAAAGATTAAAATACAGCTTTACAATAAGAAGAATCCAAAATTGAAAGTATATTTAAAAAGACATTGAAATTTTTTAAAATTATTTTTATTTTGAAGATTTAAAAAAAAAAAACAAAAAGGCTCAATGGGACATAGAACTACTAACTAAAATAAACCTCAAAAGTATTGAATACAAACACGTGTCATGTCATCATTACACAATGACATTAAATGGAATATGCAGATAATGATCAGGAGACAAGCTCAAAATTCCATTGAAATAATAGAAATCGGGAGCAGAGCAAATACGGACCTCTTCAAACATCAGAGGTGGGGTAAGGAGTCATGGAAGCGTATACATCCCATGTCGACCGGTCACACCCTCCTACTGGTCCTTGTCATGATCGAGAAAATGGAAAAATCCGTAGACAATTCAGTGTTAAAATAATGGCTTAACAATTAGAATGAAAAAAAAAAAAAACAACAATCAGCATTCGATTTAATGATAGATTGTATTTGCGGGAAAAGGTCATTGAATCGACCAAAGAACTTGCAAAATGTTGACTTCAAACGAGACTGTTGATATCCTTGTTTCATCAACTTGTTTGTCCGTGACTTGTCTTGTTTTAGAAATTCGTGCATATCGAATCAATTGGGAGACATAAACTCCATATGCAGATGATAAGGGTAGTAATTATATTGCTACATAAATAAGGGAAGTTAACGATAGAAAAGTTGAAGACATCAAGTTTTGTTGTTAAATTCAACTTTGAACTGAGAAACATAATTATTAATTGTAAACTGTTCGTTTTTTTGCACACCACTGAGTCTTTGAATTGTTCAAACACATAGATGGTCAATAACTTTAATGTGTTAAGTGAATTGAAGCTGTACTTTACCAGGTTGTTAGAGAAAAAAAATAGCTCTACTGGTTATCAAACACAGGAAAATATTTTTATCCACTGTACTTTATATTAATGAACTTTGGGTGTGTCAAAGTATATATCTTTTAGCCACATAAATATAACTTGTTTTAAGATGCACACTGTATTGTGTTGGACATGTCCACTTAATATTGCTCACCCTGCTGTCCAAGTACAGAAAGCAGACTTGACTTCCCCAGAGTCTTTGACACAGCAAAGCCACATTGTGTAAGGCTAGCAACGCAGGCTCTGTGAGGGGAACAGGAAGCAATATGGAATGGTCCTGTCAACAGGGTAGTAAAACTTTTCTGTTAACCATTCACTCTAAAAGTACTAGTTGGCCTTTCTAACTTTGTACTGGTTTAGGTGTTTCTTTGCTCTTTCTTCTGTCTCATACCTTTTCAAAGAAAAATGAATTAATCATATAACATTTTGTGCATAAGAAGTGATGAAAAAGTAAGCAAATGGAAGCAGCAGACATGAAACTAATTGATCAAACTGTTATATATTGTACATTCATTTGCTGCCAGATCATCCTTGATAGGCGAATACACAGATGAAATACCGGTACATGCAGTACATAACATCAATATCGACAATGAAGTTGAATCAACACATCATGCAATTTATAGTAGTATTTTCTCTCGAAATACAAAAATTCTGTACAACAGTTCATGTATATACTGAATTAAATACATATACATATACTGATATCATTCACTTCAAACTTATACTGATTTTATATACAAGGAGACTGCATGTACTATATGTATTTGAATTTTCATAATACCTTTGTATATTTTTTAAATAATGATATGACAAATAAACCTGCTATTGTTTCTAAAAAGTCTCTACCATGAAATATAGTTTTTGTGCTATATGCCCATGGTGATATAGCCGTCGAATATTCACTGGCAGCATTTGATTTCCCTCGCTTTTTATCTTGGAACTTTTCTGATTTTCTCTGCATTGTAACGTGACACAAGTAATGTCTACTTCGGAATAAAACACCTATTTATTGACTAATAGTATTCGGACTATAAGAAGTGGTGGGCAATTCTTTATCCCATGCCTTTCATCTTGCCAATTTTTATACAATTAAAATGGATCCAGAAGATTGAGATCGCCGAACTTTCACATATCCATATACGATTTTGTGTTTAAAATTTGATTTTCAATAGCTGTTCAGAGAAAGTGCAACCATCTTTTGTTTAAAACCGCCAGACGACACTTCACGACATCACAAATAATTTCTCAAAGCAGGAACTTAAATAGAAGTTGAATAGAATGGCTTGACCAAAATATCCTAAAAATTGACAAATAATATTCATGCCCCCCGTAATCAAAGATTTGAGGGCGTACTTTTTGGTCTGCTTGTCTGTTTATCTGTTTGGTCACAAAACCTTTAATATTGCCTGTAACTTTTGAGCGGTTCTTGTCAGTGCTTTTATATTTCAAGGCTGATTATAAGGACATTTCTTCAACATTTTGACCTCATAACATAACCTACTTTTGAAAAAGTTGGTGCTAGGGTATTTACATTTCGCATACTTATTCCTTGTGACAAGACCTTTCTTTGGGTACATTTTTTATGCCCCCGTAATAGAAGATTCGGGGGCATATAGGTTTCGCTCTGTCCATCCGTATGTCTCTTTGTCTGTTAAACTGTTAATCTGTTTGTACGCAAAAAATTTTTTTAACCTTGCCCATAATTTTTGAATGGTTGGAACTATGCCTTGACTTTTCACATGTATATTCCTTGTGGCAAAAATTTTCTTTGGGTACCAACATATTTGACCTCTTGACCGTGGGAGTTTGACCCACTTTTGAAAAATTTACCAAACTTTAACCTTGGCCATAACTTTTGAACAGTTGGTGCTACGGCTTTCCTATTTCACTTTTGTAACTCTTTGGTGACAAGTGTTTTTGATCTTGGAGCTTGACCTACTTTTGAAAAACCTTAACCTTAGCCATAACTTTTAAATGGTTGGAGCTAGGGCTTTCATATTATACCTGTGTATTTCTTGTGTCAAGGCCTTTTAACCTTGCCTTGGAGTTCGACCTACTTTTGAAAAAACTTTAATCTTGACCATAACTTTTGAATATTAGGAGCTAGGGCTTTCATGCTTCTCATGTGTATTCCTTGTGATAAGATCTTTCCTTGGGTACAAATATTTTTGACCTTGGAGTTTGACCTACTTTTGAAAAACTTTAATCTTGGCCATAATTTTGAATGGTTGGGCTAAGGCTATTAAACTTCATAGGAGTATTCCTTGTTACAAAACCTTTCTTTGCAGTATTTCGATCTCTTATCCTTCACCTTGGAGTTTGACTTGCATCTGAGAAACTTTAACCTTCGCCATCAGCATACGGGGCCATCAGTGTTTCACAAACACATCTTGTTTCCTCATGCCCTAGGCCTCGGACCTTGAAGTTTGTCTGATTTCTGACTAAATAAAATATTCAGATATATTTTGCTTATATGTCTTATATATAAAGATCGAAAGGATTTATTAGATCACATTTTTCTTTCCCCTTCATAATTTTTTACAAGTATTATCCAAAAATTTATGAAAATTGAAAAATAGTGGGGATTCGGATTAGCCAATATCTATTTTACATGTAATTGAAAAATTGTGCTCCAAAACACCTTACTAGTATTTAACTAAGATACATAATATATGTATACAATCAAATAAAGAAGTTGCTTTAAATTACGTTAAAAAACCTAAATCCAAAACAATATTTTGCCTATTCCATTTTTACACTACTCGATTCTACAGATACATCAAATAGACCACAGCAAAGATATTCTATACACGAGAACAGAAAACTGGTATTTGTAAGAAAATAGCAAATAAAGAAATTCATTAATCATTTGTATATTTTTTTTTCAAATTATTTCCAATTTAGCTTGTTAATGTCTTTGTTTTCACCTTGGTATCATGATATCACCTCTCTTCTTTTACCTGCTATTAAACCTCAGAGGAAGCATTGATGTATACTATTATTTGTTCCAATTACTAAGTTACGATAAGAAATAGAGAGGGCACTATTTTTGCTGGAAGTTGACAAATTAGGTTGACTAGTCACCAAGAAATAAAAATCAGTTGATTACTTTACTGTATATTGTATAAAAATCAGTTGATTACTTTACTGTACATTGTATATATCTGAACTATTCTAAATAATAAAATGAAAAGAAGGAAAATGCACATAATGAACATGCATTGATTCTGAAATGAATATTTACAAGAAAATGATAATAATTATAAAAACACCAGTGTATGCAATTATTTTCTAAAACGAAACAAACTTTATTATCCTAAAATATTTCACACACTGTCCCTTCCTACAACGGCATGAATCTGGACGCTTCGCGAAGAGTAGAGGCCGCTGACTCGATTGTATAAAGAATTACGGTAAAATGTTTCTTCACTATTTCCCATCTCCTTTGTTCATCTGGACTTCCTTCAATCTCAAACATTCCGTCCGCCAGCCCTGGAAAACTGCTACCAGCGTACGTATTGACACTGCTCTCCGCAAACAGAACGTGTCTGAATAAATTGGTAAAGAAACATTTATTATAAATATTTCCGCTTTTTTTAAAGATTAAATTTGAAAAGTCGTAATTCGATTCAGACTGTTGACTATCACGTGATTATACCTGGCCAATGGGCGCCCTGGTAGACCTTGAGGATCTATGAATGCCCTCTCTAACTGGATGAGCTGGTCGTTTATTTTTCTAATTGCAAAGGGACTGTAAAAGTTGAGATATATATTAGGTCTAATAAACAAATTATAAATAAATAAATTTCATCCATAACATATGAATATGATGCATCCTCATACTGAAATACACATTGACATGTTAACTTACTCCTTTTTGTTTACGGAGTCTACAGATTTCTGAAAAGCTGTTGTCTCTGACGTAAATAAACTTGAAGCGTTGTAAAGTAGATCTGGATAATTAAAACATCAAATACATCAAAGAGATGGTTTCCATTTACAATTTAAATACAAGTAAGCACAACAAAGACCTATACAAAAATTTCATTCTTGCCTAATTGAATTCCGTTTTTTCTCATTAAGGCTCCAAAATCAGAATCAAGTTGTTTAACAAGGCTCTGCAATTTATGGGCGTAGTCTTCAACTTTGAAAGGGATAATCAGGGAGTCAGCAAGGTTCCGTGCTAACTCCGCCCACGTTTGTCCAACTGCCCGGTGACGCTATATCCGAATAAATAATGTACATGTAATAGTTTTATAACCCGCCGTTCCTATATTTCAGTATGTTGGAAATGTTTCATTATAACTTGAATTCTTCATTGTATATTTTCGAATTAATGCATGTAAATATTCAACCATAAAAAACCATCACGGAACTTTTCTATTCATGTACCTTTCTTTCATATATATGTACTCCTCGATGAATGTAAATAAATAAAAAATACCTTGAAACCGCGGTCCATAATCTCATCCACCACCTTAAAAGTCTCGTACTTCGAATGATAAAGGGGATAGGAAGAAATCTTGTATTTATTCTGTAAAATACATAAACTGACACTTGATTCATACAATCTGGCACAACAAAGATCAAAATAATTGCAACTTCTTAACTATTTTGTACTCTCCTCTTATCCCACAGACAGTTGAGCGATTGAATTATCTAATCTTCGATAAGATACATAAAAATTCTGACTGATTTTAAGTCTCTCACCGAATCGAACGTATATCGTATATCCAGACATGGTAAACCAACACGTTGTATAAACGGGGCATAATCGCTTCCAGACCCCATGTTAGAAATTCTAAAATCCGTGAAAATAAATTAGTGAAAAACATGCAATTTTAATATACCCTAGGTTTAATGACCAAAACATTATCTGAATTAACATAAAATTATTTGTGAGAAAAATACCTTGGAAGCTTATTGTCTGTATCGGGGAAACTAGACAGCCATTTATCATAGACGGTTTTCATTGCTAATTCCTGCTCATCCGGGTTTGGAACCTTCTTTGTAGCATCGTAAATAACAGAGTTTAACAGAGGTGTACCAAGCGACCGAAGTGAGTAATTACCTAGTAATTGAATGAAAAATAATTTTGTATATATTTGAATGAGATAGTCAATCATTTTCAGTTTAATTTGCAACTATAAAATTAATTTGCATCTATAAAATGTGCTTCAGTCAAATTCCCTAAATGTACCTTGCACTGCAATATCCACATTCAAGTAGGCAACAGCCCGAGATCCAAGATTTTTCACATATTGCTAAATTAAAATAAATTTCATTTCCAATGAGACTATGAAGAAAAATTAGCAAAAAGATATGAATTTCGTACTTTTAAATGTAAGTATTTCACCTCTATCCATTCTGTAGATCCAATAAGTCCATACTCTTCCGCGCCCCAGCTACAAAAAACAATCGTTCTCCGTGGACGCCACCTGTCTGTACAAAATTCAAACAAGCAATTCACAGATTTTCCAATATATATATATATATATATATATATATATATATATATATATATATATATATATATATATATATATATATATATATATATATATATATATATATATATATATATATTCAAATGGTATAAAATTCCTCTTGCCTGGTTAAAAATTTCGAATTATCGGAAGAGTTAACAAAATTGTATTTTGCCATAATTTGGCAGTTCTAGCTTGTAATTTGCAGTCAAAATATCAATAGAACGTTTAAAGGAATTCGTTCCTTTTAACTCACTTGTTCGAGCAAGGTTTCCCATTACTCGGGACACCTCTTTCATCACAGCAGTTCCACTGGATGGATCGATCGCTCCAAACACCCACGCGTCACGATGGTTGCCTAGCAACACATACCTATCTGAGAAATCGAAATTTTGCAAATTGCTATTGCGCAGAATGCTTAAATTTTCTAAAGTAAAAATAATCTTTGTAATAAATTTTCTTTTACGATGCGTTTCAAATTTCTAATAGGTTCTTATTCGCTGACCAGGCTCAATTCTTCCCCGGATGATCCCAAAAACATTGTAGGTTCTTCTTTTACTATTCTTCGTAGAAATTCGTATTCTTATCCGCCTAAAGAGGAAAAAACCGATGACGTATTTGATATTACAATAGATACAGCATAATTATTCCTAAAACAATTTAATTTTTACATACCATCCAGAGTTGCCTAATTGTCCGCCATATTTGTAAGTTATATTGAGTGCTCCTTTCCAGCTTTGTGGGACCTCTGCTCCACTCATATATCTGATATCAATATCATAAACATGACGTCATTTCTTTACAACATATTATTTCATAGATACCTGCATGGTTATTACCACGGAAGCCGGTTAGTGCCAGGTAGAAAAAATAAATGTCTGGCGGCCGCCAAATAAATAACTGGCGGCCGCCAGAAACTTATCTGGAGGCCGCCAGATAAAATATTTTTCTACCTGGCACCTACCGGCTTCCGTATATTACAGATATCAGAAGTGTTTGAAAAGATATAAAATGTTCCTATAAGTTACCCAATAAGTGTTTTGGCAACACCATATCCAATCGGATGAGAAGGAATCTTTGGAAGCTCCGCCTCTGAATCGCTTTCATTCAATCTATATGCATTCTCTGTTAAGTAAAATCAGCATGAGACTTGTAACTTAAAATCAATATAGACAATGCTATCCGTGTTTAATGGAAGTAAAATACCTGTAGCAGGGTAACCCGGAGTAAGAGGATCTCCTTGTCCAAGAAATATTGTCCCCCGCTGTGTGCCCGTGTCTGGAAGCCACCAGTCGTGGGGGTAAACCTGTGAATTCTCACCGTCAACAGCGTAATCCGCTGGATCTGAGTAGATTATTATTCCTATAGCTCCATGAAGGTAGGCTTGATTGACCTTAATCAAGAAATATATTTTTTAAAATGTTTATTACTTAGTGCAAAAATTAATTTTCACAGATTTGACATGACCCCCCCCCCCCTCCCTTCACCCGATCATATTCACGGGGGGGGGGGGTCTTTAAAATAAACAATTTATTGTTCTAACACATATTTAAAAAGCCTGATAACTAAATCGTTTTATTGAACATTACGAACATCAAAGAAATTTTATAATTCTCTAAAATTTACATGTAATGTATACTAGTATTAGGCACATGTGCAAGAAAAAAAAATTATGGAAAAGAAGAAAAAATTAAATGGCGAAGACGAAAAATCCCTAAAATGTAAGTTGATTATACATGTATATGAAGGGGGTGTTCCTGTCCATAACCACCTGTGTTACAGACCTTGTCGCCTCTGAAGATTTTGCCGTATCGAGCCAGTACGATTTTTCCTGTTACGTTGATGTTCGTACTGTTTGCCAGCCACCTATAATCCTCCACCCGTCCATAGTTTACGTATACAAGTTCCATCTACAGAAAAAAAACAAATGTCTGATCTTCAAGCTTTCCTCAACTAAACGTAAAAGAATAGAATACTAAGTTTATATTTTATGGTTCTTGGTTGATGGATTTACTAATAAGCAGTTACACATTCCACATTTGAAATCTTCATCGTCCACCCAAAGAACAAAACAGAACATAACTCTCTTTTTTTTGAACCTCTGAAATGAGTGTTTAAAGTGGCTGTTTTTTCTCTGATGTAACATCAAATATAAACAAGAAAAGTGTACTTTTGGCTTACTGAACTTATATCGCCAGGTGCAGAGTAGGCATTGAATGGGGGTACCACATTTGACTTGTTTTCGCTGGGATCCAGAATTGGTTCGTACAGAGCGGACTCCCAAACTATCTGATTTGTAGAATTGTAGACAAATATCCGATTCATCTTGCTTTCGTCCTCTGTTTCAGGATAGGAAAGCAGTACATCATATGGTGTGATGAAAGCTTCATCAAGACCCACCGATTTCCAGAAGTCATGAAGCTCCTTAGCCTGTTTGTAATCTGCATCTGTTCCAGCGAGATGAGGGTATTCAGAGAGTTCTCTATTTAAAAAAGTGCACAATATTTGGCAACTATTAGAAATTCGTCAATTTTGTCAACGTTTCCACATCGTCAAAGTTTCAACTTTTACAGTATCATAATGGTCTTTGTTATCGTTGTCTGATCTCTGAAATATATCTATAAATGACATTTTGTGTTTTATCATTGGTATTGCTTTGGTATCAAATTTATCTATTTAAAATCTTGACATTTTCCGTGCCTTTAAAACTACACCGATTTATTCCAATTTGACATCATATAAAAAGGAAAGGGTATGCTTAAGTCTTAATTCCAGTTTCACTTCTTATCCAGACACTGAAAATTTTCCATTGTTTTAATTCCGTATAAAGCCTATAGAGGATCGTACATTTTGACCGTTGTTTGTGACAAATGTAAACCTCAGTTTCAGTACTTTTAGTACTGTGATTAAATCCGTTAGCGCTGTTGGCACCCCTATCCATTATATGACAAAGCCAGTTAATTATTCAGTTACATGTACCATCTCATGACTTGTGTTACCCATGTTGTTATTCAGCTACATGTACAAAAGTACCATGCAATGAGGAACAAATTTATACGGTCATCTACCTGTAGTTCGGTATGTCAGACAGGGAGTTCATGGCTCATTCCCAAAAACCTATCATCTGTTGCATAATTACAGTGAAAAAGTAACAGGAGAAATGTACTGAGGTAATTCGTGATTCTGCATGGATAAGACAGAGATCAAGAGAGAGAGAACTGACCTTAAATTCTAGAACTCATGCAGTAAATCACAAAACAGGAAATTTTGAAACGGGGGGTTGGGGGGGGGGGGGGCAGCCGGAATAAAAAGTAATATCCAAAGTCTAAATATTATTTAAGGGATGACTCATTCGTTTATGGCAAAATTTTTACAATAAATATTTCGAGAAAATATTCTTTACAGGACAGATAAAAAATAAACTTATGGGTAATTTCGTACTTCATATAATCTGGTAATGATTCTTCTCTAATAAAGTACGCACAATTTATTTTTGGACACAACTTGAGACATCTTCAGTGTACATATCCTTGTCATAAAACTTAATAGGTATATGACGAGTAAAAGCGCAAATTATATAATCAATACGTGCAATCATACATGTGCGAGTCAACAGCATTTATATTTATGGTCTATCATAAAAAAAAATCACGTCTTTAAATAGTGTGCTGAGTTTAAATAGACCGAAATGAAGGATCGAGTGTTATTCCTACCATTTTGCAAGAAAACGCTGCGTTATGAAATTTATAATAAAGCGTCCAAAACACCACCGATTGGATACCAATGAATACAATGACTTGCTGTACTTAAGAATGCGTTGTAAATTTTGTTTGAAACTGTCAACATTTACAAATAGGATGAATTCTATGTAGTTTTTTTAGCCAACCAATTAAAAAGAAAGAAAATGACAATATTTTACCGCAAATATTGCCGAATATTTTCACTCCTAATCTGACTGATGATCTCGGGAGAGATGGTTGGGTCTCCATCTTGAACAAGGCTTTCTGGTATTCCTGAAACATTTTGATTACCGTCCTCCGTACAGAATCCAAATCTTCCAATTATCATACCAATTCCTAAACCCACGGCAGCCGCTATTAGCGTCCAGAGCAAGAGATTCCTTTTGGCCTGTTGGTGCACAGAATTCATTGTTCACTTATCTTTAAACCTGAATAAACTTCGTAGACACCTAAAAATTTTCCTTGTAGTAAATTCAGCAGGCAATGGATATCGTAAATTGTTAAGCGTTGTGTTTGATCATTTTTGGCAAATAAAGGGTATATTGCCGTGTTATAAAATCCCAGGAATTGCTGTTGCGCTCAGTAATATAGTCCTTGGACGCTCTAGATCTGTGGCAGTTTCAGTGATAAGTAACTTCAATGCCGGCTAGATAATCTTGACAACTTAATCCCGCAAAGCAGCTTTGTGCAGACGTTATCTTTTTTATCATTTAATGAAGTCGCCTTCATTTTTTTTTTCAAAGGGGGGGGGGTTCTTGCAAGAAAATTGTTCGGAAAAAGAGGGGTTTTTTTAAAAAATAAATTGTTTACATATTCATATACCGGTAGTAAAATTGTTTTAGAAAGAAAAAAAAAGACATATATGATGTAATGCTAAAAAAGTACATGAACTATTAAAATAGCTGCGTCCACCTTTCACTCATCATTATGAACGTAACGTCCAGTAAAGTATGTTTGCATATTTTATGGCACTCTCCTATCAGGAAACATCTTTTTATTGCTAAATTTTATGTATTTCTACATATACAAGGGTAGATCCAAACTTATGTGGGGAGGGGGTCAAATCTAGTCAAAATATTCTACAAATATATATTAAAGACACAATTTTTTGTAGTGAATTTTTATTAATAATGAAAATGATGTTCATATATTGTTAAAGACTATCAAAAGAGAAAAAATGTTTATAGATATATTATAACAAATTTGAGAGTTATAAAAATATTTTTGTGAATAAAAAATAATTTAATTTTGAAGAATACATCTTTATATAAATACATGTATCATAGTCTTTTTTTTTTTAAATTTTGCATTAGTCTTTAATAGCATGTTTGGGGGGAAACACCTTGCAATACAATTCAACATTGTGTCGTGTAAATATTGGAAAGACAAAATTCCATTTCGCTAACATGTCCGATGAAGAGAGAGAAGGTGCACTTTATTCAGACATCCAGGCGACGACCTCGTTCACTTTTATCACATGTCATATTGACCCGATTAATGTCGCTGAAACGAGTGAAAATTTAAATTAAAAATGGCTGTTACTGTTCAGGATGCTGTTGCTACAATAAATAATTTTCTTTCAAGTGACGAGGACACGATTTAGATGATATATTTGCATTTTAATATTTACTAGTTTAATGCAATGCACAATCTGTTAATTTACAGCACAAGGCTTCGTTACAATAAAAACTGAAATGTAACTTCAAAATTAACAAAACAGAAGTGTTGGTCGAGCAAAATGAACGAACATGTCGTTAAAATTACTTATTACCTCAGTACTATATGTTAATTGAAAAGAAACAATTGCAAATGATAGAAAATGGATATTTCAGCGGCAAGAAATCTTTTACCTCCGTTTTCCGCCACGCAGGCTTCTTTCTGACCACCCGACGGCTTAAAAATATTTGAAACAATTTACGTTCCCGCTTCCAGAAGTAACAACCGGTTTGACCCTGGTTATGAAACAAGTGCGCCCAGAGTCTACAAACATTCTAAGAGTGTTGCATGAGCAATTCTAGTCCTCTAACGGCAAGCCTAAGCAGGTTCCCTTAAAAATTAATATCGTCAAAACTAATCAAAGCGGAACCAAATGCAAACTTTATCTTGAAACTCAAGAAGGTTAAACTCGCATTAAAAAAACTAACAAAACAAAAACAAACAAACAAACAAGAAAAACAACAACAAAAAAAAAACAACTTAATATCTGCAACGTGAAGTAAAAAGTGTAGAAAACGAAGTGGGTTTTCCTGACAGGCAGTCAAAGGGACAGCGAGATAGACAGACGAAGAAGAAACCTATGGTCTAATCCGGTTTCACAGGTAGGGGATGGCAAGTATTCTAAGAGTATAGCATAAACAATGGTAAGTATAGTCTGGTTCTCCTTGAAAGTTTATGTCAAAAATCATCAAAGTGGAACGAAATGGAAACTTGATCTGTAACTCATCGAGGTAAACTCACTTTCGAAACAACAGCTCAATATGTGCAAGCTTGTAGTAATATTCCGCTATCACATGCACATGTAGTTTACGTCTCCTAACTTATTCGATACTTCAGAGCAAGCTCTGAGTACGATCAATTTTCAAACGGAGGCATGCTACTAACACATAAGTTAATGTTACAGAGATTTCAACAACCTCTTTTAAAGTCAGCATTTCGTAAATTCTATGGTCGTTATAATGAAGGTCATTATAACGACCATAAGCAAATATAATCTATCATAGGGTTGTATTTTGGCTGACGTTTTCTTACCAATTGTTAGGTCTTTGTTTTCATACTAAATTTGATTACGGAATATTCCTTCTACCTATTTATTAAATATGGCTCACGGCAGGTGTGACTGGTCGAGAGGGGACGCTTACTCCTCCTAGGCACCTGATCCCAAGTCTGGGATTTCTGGGGGCCAATGATTTATGTATTATTCACAGAGTTGTATTATTTGTGGATTTTTTTTCAGATCGATCATTGTTCATTGTCTTCATCTTTTTCATTCTATAATTTTTTTTTCTAATATTATTTTTAAAAAAATTGATAAAACTATCTTAGTCAAAGAGTATCTTGTGATGCATTAATTGCTGTTCCTTAGTAGGTGTTTTAGGAAGTGGTTGAATTCCGTAAAGAAGCACGTCTTTTGCATAGTATGCTCACAAGAGACAGCATTTGCTACCAAACACTCTACATCTCTACAATGGTATTTTGAGACACAATGAAATGTCTAGCAAACTTCGATACATGAAAATCCAACTTGCAGAATATCAATAGCATAGAGGCTGCTCAATTCTGGGACATTGCTAGCAAAATATTGAATCGTCATTATTGTCAGTATCTTTATCTAGGGAGTCAGAGAAACCATCTCCTCTGGAATTGCTTCCTAATGTAATTGCTGATACAGAAATTGGTCGAACTCTGGTGTAGAATTTTTGGACTTATTTTTTAAATCGAATCTGTGAATACAAAGATCCCTTTTGCAAGAAATAATAACATTATATTTACTAATAGATGTAAAAAATTTAATTGAACATATTACAGAGTAACTTTTCTATAACATTTATCATGAGAACTGGAATGCTTGATTTGATGCAACTGAATATAGATAACATACGTATAGAAACACGTTAAAAAATAAAACAAAATAAAAACAAATAAAAGTAAAGAATTTCAAGTAAGAATAATTACGATCGTGATAAAAGAAAATATTTTAGTTAATGGTAATGTGTATTTAATCAGTATGGCACTTTTCTCCTTCTTTTCATGGATTATGGTTCAAAGTATCTTCCTGTGTCTGTGTTGTACTTCAGACATCCAATTAATCTCTGTTGGTGTCTTCTTCCGCTGAATGACAGAAATCGAAGATTGATAATGAGTGACAGTTTATAAAAATATATACCTTGGTATATTCTTCTCTTATAACAGTTTAATTACCTTCTATTTCAAGTAAAAATCTTGCCAATCTCAACACCGTTGGACATTCTTCTATAAAAACAAGATGACACAAAATGTGTAACTATATATATGCACCAAAAAAAAAAAACTTTACTTAAATTATTCAATTTCTGTATTGGGTAGCATGAAGTCATAAAAGACTCTGTCATCACTCGTAATAATAATATTTTCTTCGCTGAATGCCGTGAATTGTTCTTTGAATGTGAATATTTCAATGCAGAAGAATGTACATGTACCATACATCCTCAAAGTCCATTCTCTCTCTAGCTTTCTCCTCTCTCTCTCTCTCTCTCTCTCTCTCTCTCTCTCTCTCTCTCTCTCCAAACTAGATATTTTCCTGAAAACTAATTTGTGTTTAGATTCCTACTGAAAAGCATGAAGATAGACAAGGAAGCAAACGGATACGGAAGTCTATCGTCCACGCCAGTATTTTTACTCACCGCCATGACGTGCTCGATACTCAGACAACGCCCACATTCTCTCCCTCTCTGTGTGACGTTCAATGATAGATCGCACTCTGCCTCCTAAGTCATCCCAACCTAAAACATTGAAAGACGTATCTTTGATTTTTTCACGCAAGGTTAGATTTTTTAAGTGGAAAGGTATTCAGATTCATCGGAAATAAATTAAAATACACAAGACTTAGGGGGCGATGTATTTACATATGCCATCTCATAGAAGATAGATATATTCCCATGGATTTTGCTATCTACAATTCAGATCATGCGTAGTATCGCTCTTCTAAATACTGTAGATTACCAAATTTTCGTGATACATTACTTTTGCGAAACTGTTTGTGAAAAGTGATTTACATTACACGTAACTGTAAATGTTATTTAAATGTATTTCTTACCTAGCATCTCTTCGTGTACATTTCTAAATGATCTTGTACTCTCACGTCTCATATCTCTATCCAATCCAGCATCTGTAAATATACAGACTACTCGATTAGTTTTCTTTCCTTAGAGATTGTACCGAAAGTTTTGGGGAACATTCACGCCTATCTAACTGCAGCTTCAAATGGAGCATTTGAAATAACTGTTACTTACAAGAGTGAAAAGTTTTCCTAACCTTGTGACATTAAGCATGACCTTTGTCCAAATTTTTAAAATTGCTTTAAAGAGGTTGACATAAAAGTAGACAGATCTCTCTTTCACGGAAAAGACTTGCACACGTTTTCACCGAACCTGTGATCTTGACCCTGATTTCTAATTCATTTTTTTAGAAGTGGATGTTCAAGGTAATTACTATATTTGTAGAGCAAAGATAAAACTTTGTAAGAGTCTTTAATTGAGTTTGAGATGGTGGACTGTAGTGTGTCGTTTTGTCAGGAGATTGTATTTTTTTTAACCCCACGTTTTATAATTCCTACCTGGTCTATCTTCGCGGTGAATGCTCGTGAAAGGCCTTGTCCTCCCGAGTCTTACAGCTGTGGTCAATTCTAATTCTGTTAAAAAATAATTAACATATATCAATTAACACTTGTTTGATTTTAATCATTTGAGCCAAGGCTCCTGTGAATTTTTTAAATAAATATGTGACTGGCGTCTGTCCTTCTGTTTTTGTGATCATTCTCGACTCCCTTTCAAAAGCAAATTAAATTTGACGTGCGACATTTTTGGATCAAATTAATTATATTATTTTTTAAAAGAAGGACTA